TAAATACATTAAATATTATTATAATATAATTAAAAAAATTTAAATTTATTTATCATTTTATTTTAATTATTTTCTGTTTAATAACATTTTAATTATTGTTTTTGCTTGATTATATATTATTATATTTTAATTTATTATAAACTTATATTTTAATAATTTGATTTAAATATAATTTACTTTCATATGTAATGTGATATATATTAAACTTTACTAGAACATAAATATATATTTATATAAATGAATTAAATATTTTAAAATAAAATAACAGAATAATAGGTCAATTTACTATAAATTAAATTATTAATACTAATAATAACTTCCAAAAAATTATTAACATAAAATAATAAAAAATAAAATTAAAATAAAGTAACATAAAATATAATATAATNNNAAAAAAAAAAAAAAAAAATTGTTTCTTCACTTTCTTTAGATAATTAATTTTCTTGATGATGCTCTTGAGTTGGGAGGAGGAATATGATGTGTGAACCAACCATCTGTCAAAAGAATGGTTCAAATGGGAGCAAGCAACTTGATTTATTCCAAGCACTAATCTTTTTCTTTGTTTTTATTTTTTTTTCTCTTCCTTTTATATATTCCCACTTTGGAGGGGTAAACTAAAAATGCCTTGCCTTTGGCTTCAACCCATTTTTGATTCTCATTGACAAAGACATTAAAAAAAAAAAAAAAAAAAGCTCAAACCACTTGAGGATCATCCATTTTTTTCACTTTAAAGAGAATAAGGGGAGGTCATGATCCAATGTGGATGATATCTTTCTTAAATTTCAAGGGATGATTACAAAATCAACCACTAATATGGATTGTTTTGGTTTTTTGCTTTTTAATATTAAAAAGCTATATCATATTACTAGAACCCTCCATACATACGATTGGATTTATATAGAATAACGTATTTCAAAAGATTGTTAAACTCCAAGATAATTATGTTGTGTTTGCTAAAGATATAAGGATCAGGTAGTTTATAGTTTATTTGATTAGCTAGTAAGTTTTCTGTATTCAATTAAGCCTAGTTTGGTAAAATGAGATTTTAAAAAAAAAAAAAACTTGAGCTTATCTCATAAGCTTCCTTGTGTAGCTTTTCAAATAAGTCAATTGAAATATTTATTTCAGTTACCTTATCAGTTAATTTTACCAAACATTTTTAACATATAAAGAGTTTTTCAGCCATAAGTCATAATATATAAGCTATAAGCTCAAAATTCACTTATAAAAGTATAAACTATATTTCCAGTTAATTTTACCAAACATAGCCTTAGTATTTGCATATAACTATAGAAATATTCACCTACTTATTGTATTCAAGTCTTAAAAACATGTCAAGAATTTGTGATGTTTCAATGCTATATTCATTGGATATGTACATGGTATGCTAATATTTTGCCACATCATCAGTTTGTGAGTATTCGTTTTGCTATGAAGTCAACAGTTGGCTCCATAGTGGAGCCAACCTTCTATATACAACAAATAAACCTATCATTTTAATAAATTTTATTAGTGTTATTTAAGTAAAATCGTTTTAACTACATTAACAATGTTTACCCTAAAAGTGTTTGCATCATTTCTACTTTTATCATGGAGTGACTTTTACATTTTGGATTTAAGCATGAATTTATGACAATATAGTTGGGAGTCTCTCTCTCTCTCTCTCTCTCTCTCACTCTCTCTCTCTCTCTCTCTCTCTCTCTCTCTCTCTCTCTCTCTCATGTGGAGTCCCAAACATCTAAAGATCTATTATGTGTCCCAAACCCAACTATGGAGAAAAGAAAGGATTGTACTAATGGTCCCTCAACTCCTTAAATAGTAGCAATATATTCTTGCCTAGTTTTTTGTCTTGTTTCCACATATGATTCTATTCTAACCCCCCCAAATGAAAAGGAATTTGGTATAAATCTACAAAAGTGGACAGCTTTTGGTGATACATATCCTTTTCCATTGGGCCCACAAAGCCCTCATAAAAATAAAGAAGGAAACTTCATAAACATGGGCCTAAAATATTGGGATTCTTTGGGTTGGGTCAATTTTGGAGGGGTTATTATTATAAAACAATATCAAAAAATGATTTTTTTTTAAAAAAAAATTAAAATATAAAAATCATGGGCAGTTGAGGGGTAAATAATTAAGCAGTAGTGGTCCTTTTGTTAGGTTGGCAATATCATGATGGTGTCAATTCTGTCTATAGGCATCAAAAATTTCAAATGCCTTTATAATTTGTGCCATGTAATTGCCACTTATTTGTCTTGTTTCCATCTTCAAAGAAATCTAATCAGACAAATCAATCACTAATATATATACATATAAAATGGGAGATGGTATGGTCCCGTTACGGAACTATTCCGTCGTAGTTTGTAACTATTAGATCAACTATCCTCGACGGTTATGATAATTTAACGTTTACAAACTTCGACGAAATTGTTCCGTAACGAGACCGTAACATTTCATTTTTATTTTTATTTTTTACTTTTGCTATTTTTGTTTAATAATAATATATAAAAGTGGGGTCTGTACTGTACCATCATGTCAATTCTCTATCATCACTTTCTTAAAAAAACGTCAGAAGATCAATAATACCTGCTCAGAAAATTAAAGTTGAAATTGCACATTCATAAAGACCGTGACAAAACAGTGATAAAATATCCAACTTAATTAATTCGTGTTTTCTAATGATGTTAAATAAATAATAATTAAGATAAAACCGTGTGGTCAAATATAATTTTGTCAAAGTAATTAGCCCAAATGCCGCTCTTATTGGGGCCCATATTTCTAATCAGATCTACATAAGGTAATACTAATATAGATAAAAATATAATATTTTATACTATAAGTATTTTAATATTTTTTATTAAACTAACTATGTCTAACAACAAATTTTATGAAAAAACATAAAATTTTTGTACGGCTTTATTTTATTTCGATCAATTGATATGCAGTTACAATCTCTATATATCTTCTCCGATTCTTCTCTTCATGAATTTGGGATTGAGATCTTGAAGATGAATTTGACGCTTGAATTTCTTTTGTTCTTGGTATTGAATTTCT